GTGCTGACAGATTGTATGCATGTGCATAAATCGTCCATTTCTTGCAAATAATATGTTTAAATGTCCTGAATCTTCTTCTAAAAGTTCATTTATTGAGTTGGGGTTGTAATCCAATTAGTCTCACTAAAAAACATTGAGTTTTGACTCCCCAAATACTCAAAACAAGATGCATGTGCATCTGAGAGTTGTTCAGTAGGTAAACCCTACTTTAAACAACCATAACTCTCTAAATAATCATCCAAAATCATTGATTTTTCTTCTGGAAGTTAATTTAATGAGTTACCTTTCAAATGCCACTTATTTCATTCAAAAATATGGTGATTTGAGGTTTTAACTACTCAAAACAATATGAGCATGCAATCTGTCCGAAACTGACAGATTTGTATATGCATGTTCTAATGACCATATCTCTTTCAAAACTCGATGAAAAATGATGATTCTTCCTTTGAGAGTTAACTTTATGAGTTATCTTCTGCATGCAAGTGGAATCACATGAAAATATGGAGTTTAGACCTCCAAACACCTAAAACACTTTAGGTGTGCGAACTGTGAAACCATCAGTAGGTAACTTCTACTTTGTGTGTTAATATCTCTTTTATTACTTGCTCTTAGTATATGATTCTTCTTCTGAAATATTGTTTTATGAGTTAGGGTTCATATGAACCCAGTTTCACTCAAAAATATGAAGTTTTGAGGCATTAAAAAATTTATTAAAGTTAAGTGTGTAATCTGTTAACTAATGACAGATGAGTGCATGTAACTTTATGGTGCCATATCTTCCTCTTACCTCATCCAAAATGAGTGATTCTTATCTTAAAAGTTTCATTTAGGTGTTGAGTTTATAATCCAACTTGAATTTCTGCAAAACACTTAGTATAACTCTTCAAATGAGTATTTTACTAACATGGTGTAATCTGTCATACCAATTGTGACATATTGTATTGCATAAATTATTTGAACCATTTTTACATGTCCAAAATGCATGAAATTTGGTCACAATGACCATAACTCAGTTTTATATCCCATATAAAAAGATAGGAAACTATGTCATTTTAGAAGTCTCTATAAATTGATCATTTTTAGTACTATTAGTTTCTGTCCAAAAGTGAAATTCTGGAATTTATTTGATTTTATAAATTTTGACCATTTATTGGATTATAACACTACTTCCGGTATAAATTACTGTATTAACGAGCATATGTGCATTATGTATATTTGGACTATAGATAATCAAGTTGGACATATGTAGACAATTATGGACTTAGGACTTATTAATCCCCATAAGTAGTTTTAAACCCATAAGTGACGGTTTTGGATATTCCTCTTTGATAGGGGAACGTTAAGCCTACGTGTGGGGACCGAATCGTGTTTTTATTAGCGGAGCTTTGCAAAAGAGAAAGTATTCACAACCCCTCTTTCAAAGTATTTATTACGTTTTGGGGTGAAAAACATGATTGAATGTGTTATATGAGCTATTTTCATTATGAATATGAAATTTTGTTAATTTGATGTTATGGGCACTAAGGCATGTACATTAATAGTTATATTGAGTAAAATGTAACAGAAAAGTTTGTACACTACTATTAACTCAAGTGAGGAGCCGAGGGTATTTGTGGATAACGCTATTTGGACGGACAATCCCACCTAAAAACCGATAAGTAGGGGTGTGGATAGCAATCTCACCTATAAACTACAGGTAAGGGTGCACTATACTTAAAAACAAAGGTTAATTGATATCGTTTATGTTCGGGGCGCAACGACATCAACCATTTTTTTTATTTGAAATCTTTTTGCTGAAAACTTTGCTTACACCATGTTGCTAAAACTTTGAACTTGTATGATGTAATTTCGGATTTTATATGTGATGTATTTGAATGGACAATTGGTGTTGTTTTCGCCCTATCGCTGTGAAATCTTGAACTATCACTCATCGTGTTTCCGCTAATGGGATCGGGTTTTTTTCAAGGATTATCATAGTTTTGAATGCAATAGAGAAGTGTGTCACAGTTCAAAAAATGGTTGCTAGAAAATTGAAGAAAGAAATTGTGATCGATTAATGCAACGAAAGTGATCAGTTGAGGCCTCGAACTATTTTTTGGAATGGTAAGATCCCCTCACGGTTGGAAGACAACAGAGGTATGTTAATTGAATACCTTTATTAACCGCTGAGACTTTGTGCTCACACTCAATGGTGTATGGTAATAAAGTTTGAGCTTGATTATGGTGTTAATCTTCGTAGAGCTCGGATTGCAGTTATAGTAGGAAAATAATTAAAGTCCAGATTATGGTCAGTTTTGGTTAGAGACCCTCCACCAAATAGGAGGCAGTTTGCTTATGAAGTTGAGATCGATTAGGGACTACATCCTTATATAGTTATTCTCACTAGATGTTTGAATAATGAGCAATCAATAGGACTTAAACCCTATGGCATATGGCATTTGGAGTTGCCTCGTGTGTCTCTTTCGGTCCTAATGTATTGTGGAAAAGGAATGGTTCGATGTCAATGCTCGAAAAGATTTCATATGGATAAAATTCTCAATTGCGAATAATAATCAGGGTTAATTGGGGAATCGAGGAAGTCTATTAAGGCAATGTGTTCGACTGTAGATAAGTGCTAGATTTCAAAGACAAAATCTCTTTTAAGGTTGGGAGGATTGTAACACCCAGATTTTCAGTACATATAACAAACCCTGAAGAATTCAAACAAATGAAGCATTTAAGCTTCTGGAGGCGAGATGTGACCCTCGTGTCGCGACCCTAGGCTCGTAAGCCAAGGTTGCACATTGTGTATGTAGGTAGAAAACTTCTCAAGGTTAGGGTGACCCTTGCATCGTGAGACTAATGTCGCAAGGAGAGTTAAAGGGGTGGTCAACCCTTGTGTCGCGACCCTAGGGTTGCAAGCCAGGGTCATGGGTCGCGATCTGGGCATCTAAGGCTGATTCAGCTAAGGTCTCTTCCATTTTTCTCTATCTCCTCCACTTCTCCCAACTCCCTCCTTAGCTTGGGCGACTTTGGGGGCTTAAGGTTCAATCTTTGGAGCTTTTGGAAACATTCCTTGACAATCTCATGGGTTGATTGTTGAAGGTAATACTCTAACCTTTCTCTCTCAAAGATCTAGGGTTTGGTTCTTTTCACCTCAACCATCATCCTCCTCTTAGGTTTCTTTGTGTATGTTTTGGGAGTAAAAGATGTGTTCTTGAGAAGCTTTGCATTTTAGATCTGGAAATTTAGTTTATGATCTAAAGTCTTCACTATTTAAAGCTAGAGATTGAGCTTGGAAACTAGGTTTAACCTAATCTAGCAAGATGAGTTCAAATTGTTTTGTGAAAACTTTGTACATGCCAAAAATTGTATATTTTAGCGTCCTAATTTTTTTTTGATATTTTATCAAATGTGTTGATTATTTGATGAATTTTGCATTTATAGTATATTTGAGTTATAAATCTTGTGAAATGCCCATATTTGGGATTTTCAAACATTTTGTTAAATAAACCACAAAGTATGAGGGATTTTGATGGTTTATTACTCTTTAGGGAAACTAATTGATGTTAATTTTACATTTAGTGTATTTTGTTTTATAAACCATTTTGGGAAAATGTAAATTATTGCGTTATGACACATTTGGAAATGTAAATAGTATAATTTCATTTGGAAAATTATTTGTCTCAACTAATGATGAGTTTTTTAGTTAATCATATTTTTGGAGTATTTATTTGCATAAAACGTTGGTTAAATATGTTTTATTGAATAGCCAATTGGGTTCTTGAGCTTTGACTCAAATGCGTCTTGGAGACATTTGTCCGGATTAATTTCCCCTATATCGGGCTTTTGGAGTTATATGTAGTTATAAAATATTTATTTGTAAGTTACATGTTTGAGTACGTTGGTCATTCAATTAGGGTCATGTAATGTAGACTATAATGCAGTGGTCATCGAGGGCATCATGTTATGGTGCGGGCTCTTGAAGTTGAAAATATGTCTTTGATCATATTGTGTAATTTATGAGTCCGCTTTAATGGGAGGTTATTCTCATATTATAACTTGTAAAAGACATTGGGTAATCGAGGGCATCGTGTTATGGGGTTGAGTATTTTTTACCACCCCTAACGTTCACCCTCCCTGTACACGTGCACATGGGATCAATCGTGTAAGGACCATTTGTGCATTTGCACTTTCTGTAAAAAATACACGCTCGAGTATAGGATTCCATTCACTCAAGCACAAAAGCACCCCATTAATGGCGTCTCCTTCTTACAGATTAAATTTCAGGAGCGTTTAAAGTTTGAACACAAGTTCCCTGTCCTGGAACCCTAGAATCTCCTCTGTTCTTGCGGAGTGATTTATTGAAGTTGCAGAGGAGTTAAAATTTTGAATTCTGGAGTTCAGACGTTATATTTTCCAATTTCAGGTTAACATATTCAGTTTTGCTACTTCATATTGTTTATTCCATCATCTTCTAATAGTTTATATTGGCTATCGTAATTTTTTGCTTGGACCAAAATAAAGTAAGCAATTTCAACACGTCAAAAGTAGTCAATTGTGAAAAGTATGATTTTATACTTTATTTGGAATGAGAGGAGTATTTTGGCTGGTGCTATGATCTTCATAAGTTATCTTGTGCAGATAATGCTGAGTTGTAAGGCGTGCATTGTTAAGATTTCGAATAGGGGATAGTATAACTGAATTTATGATCATAAACATCTTTATTTTAAAGAGAGTTAGGGGACGTTTAATAAACACTTATTTGGTAAGTACTTGCCGGATAAATTTCCTCATCGGATGAATATGAGAAGGGTCAAGAATCTTACATAGTAAGAGCGATGTGAATGATGGACAGTCTTACCCGGTAAGTGATGATGATGACTCTTATCAGTAAGCGCTTACCCACTAAATTTTTGCATTTTCGATATGTTTTGATATACTAAAATCTTGCGTATCAAAATAAATCATAGTGTTGACTCCTATCGATAAGTGCTTACCGGGTAAGTAATTGGGTATACGGCCCCTTAGTCATTGGATTCCGCCAAACTCTTTCAAATGAGAAATGCATAAAAGAAAATCATTTTACTGAATGCGTTTGAATCTTCAAAAGCCAGATTAGGTGCTGTACAAAGGAACCTAAGAGGGAGCAACTTCAGCACAGGTTTCTTTTACATCTTACCTGCTTTTTATTGTAGTCATTCAGCTATTATAATGTGGATCAAACTATTAAAGAAAGGGCAGCCCTGGTTGCAATGAGGATCCTTGGCTTTCCAAGGGTTAGGGTGAGAAGTCTTTATACAAGATATTTCTTTGTATTTTGCAAAGCGGATGTTTCATTGATCCCCTGACCTTCAAGTCACAAAGGACTAAGCCTTATCATGGATCAAACTCTAAAGGCATCATAATTTTCTTAAAAACCTTCTTTCCCCACAGCCTTTGATTTCAATGTTCATGCTATGTTCTTCTTGAAAGTTTATTACTACTATTTCATTTATGATATAGTTGTTGGCTATTGAAGTTGTTAGAACCGTTCATATAATGCTTTTGCACTCAAACACTTACATGAGGCGAGGAATGCTTGGTGTTGCATACTTTGGTCGGAAGGAACTCCCATGGGTTGATAAAGTAACAAGGGAAATTGGTCGTTCCTCACATTGTCTAAATACCTTCAATCTCACTGTGTTGAAAACATATCATTCGCTTGTGAAGATACGACAAAAAGGTATACATTACTCTCGTACATTATATGTTTAACCATAGTAGTTCTTTACGCATTGGAATTGGTGGCACTAAATTTACCCCTTCGTGCTAAGTTTACCATCATTTGACAACGAATGGAGGACACTTGTTGTGATCATGATTTCAACAGATATAATGGAACTTTGAGATCGTTATTGATTGGGAACAACAAATAAATCTTCAAAGTTGGTGTTTAAGAAAGTAGTATTACTTATAGTTTAATGCTAAACGAATAATCAAGCTACAACACTTTGAGGCATATAATCTACGAATATTACTTACATGATATATCTAAGGACCTTGTCTCAAGTGAAAAGACATTTGAGCGTAAAAGAGAGCCAATGGTTATTAAGGATCAATGAGGATAACCAAGTACTTTAACTTACCAATCTCGCTTATGAATTAGAATATGCAAACATTGTGCGCTCTTGCTAACCAAAACTGAGTGTAATAATGGCGTTGCAACGAGATATCTAGGCAATAGTTGTTAGGAGGTGAATCGTAAACATTTGTATGGTTCACCAATAATATACATCCGATGATCCTCATTTACCCGAATTAATTGTTTTATGTTTTCTAGTGTTAACAACTACTTAAAGATTTTCCATGAATCCAATATCAATACATATATTTCTAACTCAAAATATTGGATTATAGAAAGTCAACTAACCTTACAAAGGATAAAATTGAGTTTTCCCAATTTTCCATAGAATAATGAGTGTTTGGAAGAAATCATTTTAAACTAAAAGCACTGATTGGTTTTCTTTCTCTTTCACTTTCTTTCCTTCGTTCTTATATAACTAATACTTGTAGCATTGAGACCTTGCATGCAAGTTTAAGAATAATATCAATCTTAATTAACTAATGTCCAATAATCCAAATCAATTATATGTGTCACTAGATTTCGATATCACAACTTTAAATTGTGGTACAATTAATTGCTTCGCGATTTTATCGCTATTGGACTTTGAAATCGCAGTGTGAAACCTGTTTTTTTGTTTTGGGCTTTTAGTGATATTAGCTCATAGATGGACCACTATTGTTGGACTTTTGATTCGGTTAGTGGCGTATGATAAAATAAAAAGCCTTGCTTTTCTGAACTGGGTAATCGTCAAAGAAAGTTGTTGCTGTCTTGCTGATCATTGATTACAGTGGAAGGATGGATACGGTGCAACATGTCGAGAAATGCCTCGATTCAGCCACACATATATTGTGTAAGCTTTCTTCATTTTTGCCAGAAGCATACAATTGGTGTGTGCCCGTGTGAGTATTCAAATAACATTTTCTAGAGAGTCAAGAATGAAATAAAGAGCTGGTCTTCTTTAACCAAAGGATGGTAGAAAGACAGAGAGTCACTAAAATTCATCCAGTAAGTCGGGTTTTTCACATCATCTTTAATATTCCAAAAATTTGAGTTTTCCTATTAGTTCTTAGCAGAAGAGCGAGGGTTTAAAGCACAATCAATTGATTAATCTACAAGTCATTGTGTTTGGTAACCAACAAATGAAATATGAAGTTAGGCTTTTGTAGTTTTGTGGACATTTGGTCAACATGGTCCCTTCAAACGCAATCTATTACTTAAATAAGAAGTCATTTTATCACTAGTTGAAAGATCTACTTTTGCACGATTGTACGTCTGTAATTTGAACATTTGGTGACTATCTTACTACTAGATATATCTAACATATATTAACTACTACATACATGAAAATATTTTTATTTATTACACGAAATGCTATTTTTTTTCTCAATACCAATTTACCATTGTGATAAATGTTATAGCAAATCACCGGCGAGAGTGCGATTCTTAGCATGAGTGTGTGATGCATCTTGTATGAATTAAGTATGAATACTAATTAGGATCAATGATTATGGCTTGTTAATTGGTAAACAAGGTCCTTCCATAGGGAATGTTTGGTTGTGGTAAACAAGGTCCTTCCATAGGGAATGTTTGATTGAACACCCTCTCACGAATGAAGGTATGCACACTGACCCAATCCAATCCCTTCCTCTAATCTCTTCCAAAACCATTAACTCTCTTCCCGCATGTGCCAGAAACTGAACTGGTCCAAACTAACCTTACCATCCTTCAACACCGATCATTCAACCAGTCCTATGACACCAATAGAAAATACACACCTCAACCTTCAAAAGGAAACCCTAGTCTACACCAGGAATAGGAAGCAGGACAAGGAAGTACAGGAAATACAATCTGAGTAGTGCCACGAGTCTCAACCAATTCCAACTCTTGAATCTCAAGTTATGCTCCCTAGTGAGCCTACTAATGTTGATAATCTAGATAATCCTATTGCTCTAAGAAAGGGGGTTCGGACCTGTTCTTCACATCCAATAAAGAATTTTGTATCTTACAAGGGATTATCACCCAGTTATCATGCCTTTGTGTCAAGATTGGATGAAACTCAGGTTCCACCTCTGTTCATCCCAACATGGAAGGACACAACATTTGAAGAAATCAAGGCTTTGGAGAAGAACCAAACATGGGAGATTACAGACCTTCCACCTGGAAAGAGGAAGGTAGGCTACCGATGGATCTTCTTAGTAAAGTACAAATCTGATGGAACAATTGAGAGATACAAGGCGCAATTGGTAGCTAAAGGATTTACTCAATCATATGGGATAGACTACCAAGAAACATTTGCACCAGTTGCCAAGCTCAACACCATCACAGTCTTGTTATCTATTGCTGCAAACCTAGATTGGCCACTACACCAACTCGATGTAAAAAATGTTTTCCTCAATGGCGATCTTGAAGAAGAAGTTTTCATGGACATTCCACCCGGATTCAACTCTCAGGCAAATCAAGGCAAGGTATGCAACCTCAAAAATGGCCTAAAATAGTCCCTACGGGGTTGGTTGGATAGGTCTCTATAGTTCTCAAAAGAATGGGATACACTCAATGCCAAGCGAATCACGCGCTCTTCGTAAAGCATACCTTTGATCAAAAGGTACATGTCCCTATTGTCTATGTTGATGATATAGTCCTGACCAGCAATGATCACATTGAAGTTGGCCGTCTCAAAACCCTTTTGTCAAAGGAAATTGAGATTAAAGATCTTGGAAATTTGAAGTATTTCCTTGGAATGGAAGCTACTAGATCAAGAAAAGGAATCTCAGTCTCTCAAAGGAAGTATGTCCTAGATCTCTTAAAAGAAACATGCATACGTGGATGTAAACCAGCCGACGCACCAATGGATCCATACAACAAGGTGGGATCCAAGCAAGACAACATTCTAGTAGACAAAGGAAGGTACCAAGGGCTAGTGGGAAAACTGATCCACCTTTCACACACAAGACCTGATATAGGTTCCAGTAAGTGTTGTAAGCCAATTTATGAACAATCTCACAGATGAACACATGGAGGCGGCATATTGAGTTCTGAGGTATCTCAAAGGGACACGTGGAAAAGGAATTGCTTTTATCAAAAGTTCAGATAGAGGTATAGAAGTATTCACTGATGCAGCGTAGGGCGGATCTCTCACTGATTGGAGGTCTACTTCAGACTATTGTACTTTTGTATGTGGCAATCATGTCACATGGAGAAGTAAGAAACAATCAGTTGTTGTGAGAAGTAGTACCTAAGCTGAATATAGGGCAATGGCACACGAAATATGTGAAAGGGATGTGGCTTAAGAGACTTCTCGATGAACTCAAAGTTGAAACTTCAGAGTCAATCAAACTCTCATGTGACAACGAGACAACTATAAGAATTGCAAAGAATCCGGTCCACCATGATCGGAAAAAGCATATTGAGATTGATCGACATTTCATAAGCGAGAAAATTGAGGCCAAAGTTACTAGTACTAGATACACAACAACAAATTGCAGATGTCCTTACTAAAGCTCCCTAAAGACCGACATTTGAAAGTCTATTCTCCAAGCTGGGAATGATCAATATATATTCCAGAGCTTGACGGGGTTTATAGAAATATTCGGTATCCTTAGAGATACTCGGTATCCTTAAAGATACTCGATATCATTTTAAAATAGGAATTGGAGATTATGGGTACTATCTCCTTGTAATTAGTTGCTGTGAATATCTTAGGAATCCTTCCCTTTTCTTCTCATATTCTTTGTGTATATATAGCCTTTTTACCTCCCTCTTTTTTTAGACAAGTGAAACAAAATAGAATTCCACACGATAAGAGTTTGAAAGTGAAGCAAAACAATTGGGTTAACAGTTCTTTAGTTTAATACTAAATTTAAAGTTGTTATGAAAGGTAGCGTGTATGTATGTCTTTTATTACATATTCATCCTATACATATGTGTTCAGTTTTGTATTTATCCTTTTCTGATTTAATCGTATATTCTTCTTCTTTATTATTCTTACCTCTTACTTCAAAGTTTGTCTTTAGTATATCCTAAATAATTCAGACGGCCGATTCACCGGGACAAAGGCGCAAAATTGAGCTGATAACATAGGCCGGAGGAGAACCCCTAAAAAGTAGGCATTAAGTGAACACTTTAAAATAAGATCGACACAGTTAGAAAGATGCTTGGAATGATGGGCAAATGGATGTTCATTTTGTTGATTCATATATGATGAGAATATGAAGCAAGTGTTAAAATTATGTTGCAATGTCGATTGAAATCTTCTTTTCCACTCCTTATCTTGTGCCTTACCCTACTTTCTCCCCTAGGACACATTGATCTTTCAATTGACATTCGACACTAGTTCAGTTACAATTTTAGTCTCATCGATGTCGGATTACAACTTAATTACATTAATATGTTGTCACGATCAAAGTTATATTTGGTGCAAATTGATTAGTTTGTTGTTGTATATGTATCTTGAATATGTGTATCTTGGCATTATTAATAAACTAAACAAAAAGGAGGGTTGAGATGTAACTTGAAGAGTAGAGCAGGTCTTCTGTTCTGTGAAGACCCTGGCTTGTGCATAGGTTGAAAAAGATGCTGAAAAAAATATACGAAAATAGCATACCCCACGGGATACTCCCTTGGATCCCTAGGCAAATCTCATCCTAGCTGATCCTTGGTCTTTTTTATTTGGTAGTTGCACAAAAATTTCTCATCTTATAGACAAGGTTGTTGAAAACCATAACAAATCCTTACATGTACTTTTTTTGTCTGATATTCTGACTAAACTTGAAGTTAAGTCTGCGAAATCTCAATGTTTCAGGTTTACAATATGCAAACATGTCTTCTGAAACTGTGGTAACATTAAACAGTAGGAGTGTGACCAGCGAGAGCATACAAGAGTGTCCTTTGCCATTTACATATGAAGCTGCTATGGAAGCGCTTTCGTCTCTGATCACACGCAAAAAACGTGATGGCTATTCAAATCCAAATGTTAAATACAAGAAGCTGGAGAGGATGTCAATGTATATTCAGGTATCTAGATTCTCGATACAGATAATCATGTTTAGATGGTGTTTGAGTAGGATTTAAAGGGCTGAATGACTTGATTGCTGTTTCATAAATGGTTGTCTGTTTAATGACTTGATAAGTAAGTCACAAGGCTTTTGATTTCCCATTAAGTCATTCCCTTTACTATTATACCCTCATTTTTTTTACATCTTTATCATTCGTCAGTATTTATCGATAAATACTTTTTTTCTTTGAACCCAACAAATAACTATTGTTGACCCTTAAGTTATTCTCTTTTCAATGATATCCATATTCATAATGATATTTTTTTACTTTGATATAGTGCTTATGACTAATTTTTGTGATGAAACTGCTAATCAGCTAGTACCAAATGTTTCAAATTAAGAGCTATTCAAACTATGTTGAATTTCAACAGATCATGTTTTATCACACTATTTTCAGTTATTATTGTCGTTGTGATAATACCGTTTCATATCGTTTTGTTTTAAAAAACATACTCCTAGCACACACCAAGAATTAAAGTGTGTACTAATACTAATGAAAGAGTACCAACAGTTTCAACAATAATTTATGTTCTGCCCCCAACTCTGACGGTCTATTGATTTCTTAATAGATGGTTAAAATGGTGATTTTTTGTCATTTAGATTGTACACTCAGCACATGAAGTAAAGAAGAATTGTTCGTTTACCACTTAATCTAGGCTGGCGTTTTTATCTTAATATACCTCTTTACCATGACATCACTTATTCATAAAATAGAAAAACAGAAAGAACTTGTATGCTTTTAAACTAATATATTTATAATATGAATTATGAAGACACTTTATGATGCTTAATTTGCCAATAATCAAGTTCCTTGTGCAATAAAACTTTATCCTTGAAGTGATGATGTACATGAGCATTCTTTTGTATATGATGGTTGTTGTCTGAAACCTGTACATGGGTCCAAAACTAGTAAAGATTTCCAGAAGGGCACTTTTGTGGCTTTTTCAACCTTGAGGTGCTCATTCTTCCTTGGCAAAAGAAGAAAGGGGGGGGGGGGAGGTGGGAGTCTAATAGTGTTCATATGTATGATGTATCACATACAAGGTAATATGAAAGTGTACCAATGAAAAAAATGCATGTAATGGATATCTGACTAAACATTATCATGACTCTGAGTTTCAGATATTAGGCCTAGAGGAACAGATTGCTGACCTTAACATTATCCATGTTGCTGGAACTAAAGGAAAGGTATCTTGTTCATTTTTATCTTTCTGAATATTCATCATCATCAATACTTAAAGATTTCGGTTTGTTTTGTTTTACTCTCTTATTTCTTGTTCTGCAGTCCAATGTGATTTGATGCTATATTGTGCACTAAGACTATCCTTTCCAACATGACCATAGTAAAATAAGATAGTTTCCAATTGGAGAGTTTCTAAAATCTTAAATGTTGTGTTCGCATGTGTAGGTATCCAAACTACATATACATATGGTGGTGATATCATGGATATGACAGATATATCATTGGAAAAATGCTAGATAAAATATGTCATTTTGATACTGCATAACCATGCCTTATTGTTTTGATTGGCTCAAAGTAATTGACCTACACTAGATAGAAGCTGATCCTAATTTGGGCTGTAATATCTTTTGAATTGGGTTGAATTAATATTTTTAGCTGGTTCAACATGCCTGGCTGCTAAATCTATTAATCCAATTCATAGGCTAAACCTGATTACTCCCTGCCTAGCACTATTAATCCTGCTTTGCCCTACTTGATACCCATTTACTTCTTTGAGACACTTATACAATGACTAGTTTCTAACTGAAGCGGTGGGGGCTTTTAATGCCTAAGCAGCCTATTCAGTGTACACCTTTTTCGGGGATTTGCAGAACTTCGTTACGTATTGTACCCACATCAAAATAATATTGTATGGTGCTGAGGGTGTAGTAGGTTGGAAGCGCAAACCGAACCGAACCGAACCGAACCCAACCAAACCAAACACAACCTGTATGTCCCACTCGGATGTAGGGTCTGGATGTGGGATGTACGCAGAGCTGAAGAGTACTGCTCAATTGTCTCGATATATTGGGAAAAGTTACTACTCTTAAAGGTGCCACCATTTGATTCACTACTGTAAAATTAATACCAAAACATTGCTTCTTGTTCTAGGGGCATTATGAAACGACTTCAGAAATTCAGGCTTATATCTTCTCTCCAACTCTCTTGACTTCTCAAAGACTCAAATTGCCTCTTTTCAAATTCCAGAACTCACCGGCTCAACATGAAGTGCGACCTAGCCGCCTCAATGTCAAATCCTAGCTTGGATTCTTAGAATTTTTGTGCCACCACTTGAAATTTTTTCTGGTTGACCCCCAACTTGCAAAAAAGTGTTTGCAAAAAGATTATGGTGAAAATGAGTGCTTCAAAAAGTTTGGAAGAAATTGAAAAGTAGGGAGAAGCTTTGGTCTAAAAAGTAAAAGAAAAACGGAGGGCATTTGAAAAGAAGAACCAAGACTATTTAACTGTAAAAAAGGGATACAGAAGTAGAGAAATCATACACATGTCTGGGAATATATAATTGTGATTGACATGCCAAAATTAAGCTGATAAGGGCATGAAGTAATTTGTATTTGGTGGTTGTCTAATTGTTTGTTTGAATCCCATATCACATGCAATATTGTTAATAATATTCTTGTTTTTTACTCTCTATATTGAATCACGTGATATTGTTAATGGATTCTCACGTTTTTCCATGTATCTTATCAAATCTGTTATTGGTAATGTATTCCAGTGTTTTACCATGTATCTTATCACATGTCATATTGTTAATAAAACTTTGTGTTTTACCATCTTTCTTGAATCAATCGGATACTATTAATGATTTCTCGTGTTCTGAATCACATTTGATCTAATACATGATCACGTAGAGCATTATGTACTTGTTTTGAGTCACATGTGATTTCTGGAATGAGTTGCACATTACATTACTCGACCATGTACTGAATCACATGTGATTAAGTACAGTATTACATGTGATTGATTGTATACCCAATAACACATTTAACATTTGAACTCTAAAATGACTAACAATTATGTTAATCATTTTATTTCATCACATGTGATCCTATGAACAAAACATAAGCACAAAACAAAGTCATTGTTTGAAGTCCAAGTATCCAAACAATAAATCCAAGGAAGCTAGCTTTGATGTAAAACTCTTGTTTTAATGCTTCTTTATGGATGTATGATGCTAAGTTCATGCTTAGAAGTTAGAACACTAATGAAGTTAAGATTGTGATTTTAAGAAACAAGTAAGAGAGTATGGTTTGTGTTTGTTGCAAAACAGAGGAGAGAACATTTGATTTAGCGCATGAACTGTTGTTTAAATTGGTGTTGAAGTGCTTTAATTTATGGATATACATGTTGGTAACATTGTAATACGAGAGAAATTAAGAATTTTGGAGCTAGACAATCCAGAAACTTCCCCTGGTTCACAATGTCGACGCCTAGAAGGCCGTAAGTTACTTGGACACAGCCTGGAAGGTCAAATAGGCTAAAATCACGAAGGCAAAAGTGTGGAAGTTCCGAAGTGGCATGGCCCTTTTGAGCTTGGGAGGGATTCGAAGTTGCATGGCGCGTATCAAGACATTATAAGTGCTTAATTAATATGTATATTGATGTGTGTAGGTGTTAATTTAGGAGTAGATAGCAAAGTCAAGAAGAAGGTTGAGTCATAGCCCAGACTTGAGCAATGTTGAAGATTACATTGTTGTCTCAGTTTTATGCATGTGGGGTACTTTGTTGTTTTCACTTAGTGATTTGTCTAAGTGGACGTCATTTCCATTAAGTTTCTTAGCAAGATATTTCACTGCAGATTTTACTTAGTTTTGATGTTTAATTAATGATTCCAATTTGTGAGTTAAAGAGTGTTTTGTCATATTCCACTATGGTGAAACTGAGTTTGACAGCTAGTTGTCCGTTACTTTATAAGCAGTGATACATTTCATTACAACAAAATCCACTTCATAGAACCCCAAATATGTCTAAATGTTATAATAAACTATGTTGTAGGACTAAAGTTTATAGGACCAATGCGTCCTATGTAAAGATGATAAAATAAGTTGTTACGACACTTTTGGGCATTCTAACAAGTTATTTACGGCGCTTTTGAAATAAAACGTCATATTAGTCTTTTTATATGATATTATTTGAAAAAGTGGCCTATAATAAAGATGCGTTCACACAACACTTCTAAAAAATGTCATAAAAAATTAATAGGACACTTTAATTCCGCAAGTGTTCTAAAAAACTTGTTAGGACACCCAGAAATGTTCTATAAACTTATTAACACTTCTACGTAGGACGCATAATTGGTTTGTCCTATAAATATTAGTGCTATAAAATAGTACATTAAAGACATTTAGACATATTTGGCGTTCTATCAAGCCGATTTTAATGTAGTAACTATACACAACCAACTATATTTAATAAATTAATTATCATTTTTATCTTTACCAATCAAACACTGAAATTATAAATTACTATGTAACTATGATGTAGCAGGTCTATGACGGTTCGATTAGGGATAGGAGGTTACACGGCATTGCAATAATTTTTACGAGCAGTCCTATTAAATTTTTATTCCTGATTTATAAGATTATTTCACATCCTGTTGCATTGCATGGATTTACATATACATATACATACATATATATATATATATACACATACATAGGGTTGGGTTCACATGAGACCAGACTGTTTTCGTGAGACCACATTTTTACACTTGAAACTTCACAACAAAAACACTGTGAAGGTTTAAAAAAGTCGAACCTTCACAACAAAAACACTGTGAAGGTTACCTTCACAGGATTTTGCTGTGAAGTTTCAAGTGTAAAAAACTAGTCTCACGGGTCTTACGAAAACAGGCTGGTCTCACGTGATCCCAAGTCTATATACACATACATACATATATATACATAGGGTTGGGTTCACGTGAGACCAGGCTGTTTTCGTGAGACCCGTGAGACCACATTTTTACACTTGAAACTTCACGGCAAAAACACTGTGAAGGTTTAAAAAAGTCGAACCTTGACAGCAAAAACACTGTGAAGGTTACCTTCACAACATTTTGCTGTGAAGTTTCAAGTGTAAAAAGCTGGTCTCACAGGTCTCACGGGTCTCACGAAAACAGTCTGGTCTCACGTGATCCCAAGTCTATATACATACATATATATACCAGTTTTTTACACTTGAAACTTCACAGCAAAATGTTGTGAAGGTAACCTTCACAGTGTTTTTGCTGTGAAGGTTCGACTTTTTTAAACCTTCACAGTGTTTTTGCTGTGAAGTTTCAAGTGTAAAAATGTGGTCTCATGGGTCTCACGAAAACAGCTTGGTCTCACGTGAACCCAACCCTATATATATACATATACATACATAGGGTTGGGTTCACGTGAGACCAGGCTGTTTTCGTGAGACCCGTTAGACCATATTTTTACACTTGAAACTTCACAGCAAAAACACTATGAAGGTTTAAAAAAGTCGAACTTTGTTAGACTAAGTCAACTAGTCTAGTTTATATTATTAATATTGTCTAGGTCCAAAATGTAATTAGTTTTACCTATATAAGGTGTATCAGATTATTATTATTTTTCAATCAATACAATCAATATCAAGTTTTATATGGTATCAGAGCCTAACCCTAACACTAACCCTAAAATCGATCCTTCTACCTAACCCTAAAATCGGCGCCCTTCAACCCTAATCTGCCGGCGCTGTCCCTTCAACCCTAATCTGCCGGCGCTGTTCCTTCAACCCTAATCTGCCGGCGCTGTTCCTTCAACCCTAATCTGCCGGTGCTGTTCCTTCAACCACTCATCTGCCGGCCGGCGCCCTTTAACCCTAACCCTACAATCGCCACTCTTCAATTCATCAACAATCTGCCGACGCTAAAGACACATCAACTCAGAATTCATGGCAGCTATAATCACCTTTTCACATAAGGAGAAAACCATTCACAATTCACACAAATTCTCCTTCTCTCTCAAACCTACCAACTATGGCTATTGGCGTTCTATGATTGAAGCTTTTCTCACATCTCATAATCTCTTTGGTTATGTTGATGGAACAATACCGTGCCCTGATCAGAAAATCACCAACGAATCAGCAACCACCGACAATCCAAGCTACATTCCGTGGATCTCAAACGATGCCCACATTCG